CAGAAAATGTTTAAATTCCGTAGCACTTCCGGAACCTCGTCGACCGGACCTCTATAGAACCGAGCCTCCAAACTCCCGAGCCTTCCCAAGTCTCGGGCCGAGGCTGACTGATGAGACCCGCGCCAGCATCGTCAGAGCCTCGCTCGGAGCTTGGTGTAGTGTTTAATATAGAAGCCTAAATAATTACCTATACTATTTTGGGGGTTCCTGATTATACTTATAGTAGAATGGGCCCCGAAACCCCATTCTAATTATTAAGGCCCCTACATTAGGGTTTCGGGTCTAGGGTTTAGGGTTTCGGGTTTAGGGTTCATAGCAAAAGGTCTCAGGGTTAAGGGTGGTAGTGTTGGACTTTCGGGAGTCAGATTGAGGGTGGTAGGGCCTGCGTATGTTGAGATCGTTCTGACTGGTAGGCTTAAGCTAAACCCTAAACCCGAAACTCTAAACCCTATATTCTTGGGTTTGCCCTACACCCTACACCCTATCCCCGAAACCTTCGGCTGCTGTGCGCGGTAGTCAGAGGGGACACACGCATTCAACAACAAATCTAAACCTTCTTTCAACAGTTTCAGGGCTTCTAGGGTCGAGGGTTTAGGGTTTAGGGTTTAGGGTTAGTTTAGGGCTTAGGGTTTAGGGTTATAATAATAGTAGAATGGGCGTTTCAACAGTTTCGGGGCTTCTAGGGTCGAGGCGAGGGCTCACGGCCTCACAGTTTAGGGTTTAGGGTTTTCGGTTAGTTTAGGGTTTAGCGTTAGTTTCGGGTTTAGGGTTACAGTTACATATAGTATAATGGGCCCCAAAACCCTATTCTAATTATTAAGGCCCCTACATTATGTAGTAGCTTGGTAGACTCCTGCACGCGACCTGTAGTACACGAACCCCAAACCCTAAACCCCACACCCCAGACTTTGAGTAGGGTTCAGGGGTATAGGGCTTAGGGGTCAGTTTGTGGCCGAAGGTCTGATCAAAGCATGGGGTTTGGGGTGCAGTTGGGGATGTTTAGTTTTAGGGGCTTAGGGTTGAGCTATGCGGATTTTGGGTTTCGCGCGAGGGATTTGGGCGTAGTGTTGAGGGTTCAGAGGCTAGGCTGGAGGCTTATCGCTGACGAGAACATGTTTAGTGTCTGGCGTTTGGCATCGAACTGTTGATGATAGAAATCCTGCATTACCTTAAGGACCCTAAGCTATGGGAATTATAGTGAATTTCTTATTATGGGTATTGCAGGATTAATATCAGCAAACGAATCGAGGGTTTGGGGTTGAGGTTTTGTGATCAAAGGACTCGTGATCTCAAGACTACTCAGTGCACCATATATCCCCGAGCCCTCAACCGTTAGTCGCAAACCCCACGGTAACTTCAAACCCCAAACCCTAAACCCTAAACCTAAGACACTAAACCCTAGCTTAAACATTAAACCTTAAACCTAAACCCTAAACCCCAATCATACACCTAAAGCATAAAATCCTAATGTAAACACCAAGCCTAAACCCTAAACCTTAAGACCCGAATCGAAGAGGCCCAACCGGATATGGTTTCACGGCCTCCCAGAGGCCAGCCGAATTTGTCGCTGCAGGGACCTGGGACTTAGCAATGGTGTAGGGTTTATAGGGTTTAGTGGTTCACGGTTTGGGGTTTAGGGTTTAGGGCTTAGGGCTTTCGGTTCAGGGTTTAGGGGTAAGGGTTCAGGGTTTAGGGCTTGTAG